TGATATTAGGTGAGGGTTATTTTCTTTAATTCGTATCAGTAATAGGTTAAAAATATCATAATATAAGGTAAAAGGTTTACTTATCAATTTTGTAAGGTGAGGGACTAAAACTTACTAACTTTGTAAGATAAAGGGCTAAAACTGTCATGTTATAAGGTGAGTGTTTAAAACTTACCAACTTTATAAGGTGAGAGGCTAAATGTTGGTTTTTGCCGCCTAATGTCTTGCATAAGTTACCCGATCAAATGTTGCTTGGTATATTTATTAGGGTTCGGGCTTTTCGAGACTAAGATCCTTTTATTATTCAAAACTTCAAGGTCTTTTAGTGGTTTGAAAGTTGTGATTAGTAGTTTTGTTTAAAAAAGAGGTTATATGATGTCTTGTTCTAAAATTAATTCCCTTCTGTTAAATAGTTGTTCTAGTATAGTTTTAGGTGTTGAATTTACAAAGACATTATATTAAACTAATAAAAAGAGTTGTCATAATAAAAAATTAAATTAAAAAATTATTTCTAAAATTAAGAATAAAAATATTTAAATAAAAGATGATAATTATAAAAGATTAAAAATAATATTATAATGAACAAGACCTTAAGGTTCATTTAATTTATTTATTCAATTGTTATAAATTTTGATTCTTATTTATTATTTAATTGTATGTTTCATGTCCCAAACAAATATGCAGAAGATATAACTTTGAAGACCACTAATAATATCCAATGTATTTATTTTAAGATAAATTAATTTCAATAAAAAACAAACTAATTTATCTTGATAAGTTATTCGAGGATATGACAATATATCTAATCAATAGTATTGTAGTAAAGGATCAACCCATAGAAAAGAAAATACAAGCCTAGGTATGATGTCTCCAAAAACTAAATTTAGTTTTAAAGACTCCTTTTTATATTGAGAATAAAATAAAAGTATTTGATAACTAAAATAGTAGCCATAGGAAATTAATTTTTTTTCTTTCTTCTTGCAATATTTTATTAGAATGGGTTGGAACCCAAGTTGTTAGTGCTGTTTCGTACTAGTCGGTATGGTTGGTACATACTGGTCTTTTTATTGGTCCGAAACGATACATGGTTCAATTTCATTTCGGTCAAATTGTCAATTTTGGTCAAATTTCAACTTATTGGTTGGTATTTTGATATACCGACCGGTACATAGAAAATCACCTGGACAAACCAATTCAAATTTAAAAATGGTAAATTCATTTTTGGTCCTCAACTTTAATGTTTTGCATAATTTTCATCCTTTAACTTTTTTATATATATTTTTTAATCCATTAATTATGAAAAATGCATTTTTTAGAATTATTTTATTAGTTAATCTGTTAAGTTTATCTAAATATGCATATTTAATATTAAAAAAAAAGAAAAAAAATTATGAATATTTTATAAAATTGTTCATTTTAAACTTGTTTTCAATTTATAGAAATATGATAATTTTAAACATTAGTTTCTCTTTTTATTATTTTCAAATTTGATATTTACTTTATAAAAATATATATATTTATAATGATAAATCCAAAACGGTATACGAAAAATTTTGATATTCGGTACATATCGTTTGAATAGCAAAATCGGTACATATGTTGGTATGATATTGACAACTTTGGTTGGAACTTCAAATCAGGGTGTGAAATGTTAAATGTTTCTATTTTTGTACATTAATTGATCAGGGATTAGAACCTTTCATAGGATATGGAACACCTCTTGTTACTATCCCTCCTTTTGCATTGGTAAGGGGTTATAACTTGAAAACAAGTTCCAACACCTCATTTACACTTCAAACTTCATGGACTTTTCTCCTTCATCAAAAATGAAGAAAATGTCACTTGAGCCTTCAAACTTCCATCTTTGAACCTTGGACCCTCATCTTTCTGATTCTTTGCATATATGTCCTTTTTTTTAATTCTCTCCATTTAATTATCAAACCTTCAATTATAAAAAATTTGCACACATGAATAGAATGAACACTTATGAAATTACTTGTAGAAAAATACATCTCTTAAACCCATAATTTCAAAAAATTCAATGGTTAAGCACACTTTAAAATATATATTTTCATATGTTCATCATTATATGAACATAAATGTGTTATAGTCTTATGTTTAATGTTAAGATTTTGTTTATTATGATTGTGGTATGCTTAATAATAATTAAAATTAAAAATTAGAAACCACAACCATATTAAACATGGTTTAGATAGATAATGGTAGGATTTGTGGAAATTAGCAACTCTATTATCAATAACATTGTCTCATGTATGTTGGAGGCCTATAAGTTCTATTTTGTTAAGTTTGGCTATGCCTAATAACTCAAGGGGTCCTTGCCCTATTTACCTAAAAAAAATTAAATTGTGGAGTTCTATGATCTGTGGGCTTCTTTGGTTATTCTGGGGTATATTAGGAAAAGGCCATATATCTTTTAGAATGTCCAAATTTGCTTCTAAAGTTTTGCAGTAGGAATGGATTCACCTTTTCACTAAAAATGGGGATAGATTCCCCACAAAATTTTCAAGTTAGACAAATTACCTATTATTTGACATGCCACATGAGCTAAAGTTATCAAATTGTTAATAGTGGGTTGACTTGAACTTTTGAAACACCATAGACACTTTTTTTGTTGCGTGGACGTTGGCAAAGAGCATTTCTATCCTTTTATTTCCTACGTGGCACTTTTCCTCCTTTTACAAACAACACACCAAATGGGCCCCTTCAAACTATCAAAAATAACCATTTTTCTATGTTGTTTTCTTTGTTTTACCTTTCATACCAAGGTCTTCTCTTTAAAATTGGGGGTTTGTGGGTTAGGGGTTCTTCTAATTCTCCAAATTTGGTTTAAGGCAAGCTTGTTCCATGGCATCTTCCTCCAATTCTACATCATTTGGATCTTAAGCTTCCTTTGTGGTGAGGGATTTTGAGTTGGTTGAGCACATATGTCAAGGGCATCAAATGTTTTGCAATTGTTGATTCAAGGCACTGGTGGACTTGATGGAGACCATTTAGCATTGGTAGATGCTCTTTTGGGGTTTGAACTTCTTGGATGGTGTACACAATCTTGGTTATGGGTATGAAAATTTTTTTTCTTGCCATATTTTATTTATTTACTTTGAAATATTTTTCATTTATGATATGAAGTGCCCATATTTTACTTGGCATGACTTTGAACTATTGATTAAGAGAGTGATTAAGCTCTTAAAATTATTATTAAATGAGAAAAGGTCTATGAATAATGAAATTGTAGCTTTGACAAGGCAATTGAAACAGAGAAATTTGGGTGCAATTGTACGTATTTTGGATGAGTCACCTATATTAGTTGAGTCAAGCCATGTCATGTCAAGCACCAACCTACACACTATTTGACAGAGGAATGGAGTTGAGTTAGAGAAAATTATACAAAATGTTGTGTTAAATGTTGTTGATGATGTCAAGAGAAAGTTGGATGCTTCAATTTCAGCCTTCGTCCATTCTAAAATGAAGAAATTAATTTGTGCTTATGTATTAGCCTAAGAGTTTAGGTTGATTACATTCTTTTGGTTGTTATTGGTATGCTAGGATGCCATATTATGTAAGAACTTTTCTAGTCATGTGATGACCAATTATCATGTCATTTTCACTTTGTATGATATTGGCTTTTTGACGATGGAAAATAGCCAAAGCATAAACCTTAATTTACTCTAAAACCATACAATCTAATATGATTAAAGATAAAACCATAAAAATTTGTTTTGAAATTATCTTGTAAATTTACTCATTTCTATTGTTATTATAAAACACCAACATATCCATACTATTGAGAAGTTCAAAATACATCCTTAGAGAAAAAAAAAAACAAAAAACAAAAAAAAGGCAAAACTTACATTGAGCCTTCCAAACTTAGTCTAGATTCTTGATTAAATTTTTAAATTTTTATTAAAGCAAATAAGCCTTTGAACTTGGCGATTTGAGCAATTTAATCCCTTTTTTTTACAGCAAACTTAACGCTCGTATATCATTTGTGTGGACAAGGTATTGACATGTCATTGTCTACATGGTGGTGATTGACCTTGTTCACGCAAGCAAGACATCAATATGCATTAAATCTATCATAAGAAAAAAAAAAAGTTAAATTACCTAAATCAACAAATTTAAGGATTTATTTACTTTAACAAAAATTTATGAGCTTAATTGAGAATTTAGAATAAGTTTGGGGGCTTAATATAGGGTTTTGCCAAAAAAATATGTATATAATGTGAAATCATTCTTTCTCTTTTCCCTTTGTAGAAGATAGCTTTGATTTTTTCCTTGTTTCTTTTTTGCCTTCATTTATGATCATATCTCCAACATACACAATAGATTACTCATCAAAGACTTGAAATATAATCTAAGAAACATACAATCAAATCCAATAGCTCATATTACTTAAATAATCAATCTTTCTTTTGGCTCTTGTTTCCCTTTTAAGTAGCTCCTTTCCTTTACCATTCACCCTTTTTTTTGGGACTTTTTTGAGTTTGCTCTTATGCATTTACCCCTTTTTCTTTTCCTACAGTCGCCTTGGATTTTCTGCTTGCCTTTGCACCCTTTTAAATCTTTTTATCAACTTGAAATTTAAGTATAGAAATTTAGGTCAACAAAAATAGAAAATGCATGAGGTAATATAATTTACATTGAACCCTACATTTGATGCAAGACAAGTTAGGGGGTATGGTGGGCATGGGGATTTAGAGGCTGTTTAGGCAAATATATACTGTGAATAGTATGTGTGAATAAAAAAAATAGGGTCTGTTTAGGATAGAAAAGAGGAAGAAATATAAAAAAACAAGATGGATAGAAAAAGACTAGAGTCACACCTAGGTTTCGTTAGGCGTCACACCTAGGTTTCGTTAGGCATCACACCCAAAGAGGATGAAAACCCTTAAGCATTACACCTAAGGTTAGTTGCATCACACAACCAAGACTGCATCACAAAATCAAGAGCAAAACTTGTTGGAAAATTTTGAATATTATTAACTGAATAATGAAAGAAACTACATGCATATTTATATAGAAACTACTAAGTCTTCTACTAGAATCCTATTCTAATTAGTTTATAACTTGAAATTTAAAATTTCTACTTCAACTAGGACTTAAGACTTGATAAAACACCTAATCCTAATAAAAGTAGGAAAACTAATGATAACTATACTTGAATAAAAATAATTACTTAAGAATTCTAAATAATCTAAATAACTATTGAATAGCTTCTTCTTATTCCTCATCAACATTGCTTTGATTAGTCCTTGCTTTTACAAACTCATCTTTTTTGGGACATCTAGCTACATTATGTCCCTCTTGACCACACAACCTACAACTCATCACAAACCCATGCTTTGACAATTAGGTGAATTTCCCCACCTTCACCTTCTTTGGCTCATGCTTATCCTTTTTTTTTTTCTATTCCTTTTTGGCTATTATAGCATTATTCTCATTATAGGTGGTAAGCAACCTCTTTTTGACCTTTTCTTCAATGCCTCATTGCTTCTAAGGCACTTGAGTGCAATCTCATAAGCTAGAAGGTCTTTCTCCTTCTTGTAGTGCTCATAAGCATAATCTTTATAACTCTGATTCATGAACCTAATAGCAATTGAGGCATGAGGGCTACGAATTTTGGTTGTGTTCTATTCTTTGTATGAACATGTTTTTCATATGAAATCAAGGACATGTGTCACCCCACAAAGGGTTTCACATACAATAAATGTAGGGTCTCCATTTCACTTGACATAACATTACATTAACTTCCTAATATTGTCCTTTTATCTTTTTTATGACTACGTGTAATGCTATTAGGGCATGTCTTTGAAAAGCAATCTTTTGTCCTTGAATCTATCCATCATTTGGTGAATTTAACTTTTGAACATAGAAATGATAACCTTGCACCTTACAACCAAAATTCATGAATTAAATGTTTTACATATATTGTTATCAATATCACACCAACAATCTTCATCAAAAAAGGCCTTGTACCAAAACCTTCTTGGTAGTTTTATCATCATTGCATAAACTTGCTCAAACACTCTCCTTAACTCTTTCATTTTTTTCATAAATTCAATTTGGTATGTTGCCCTAACATCAATTCAAAATGCCAGTTTTATATCGTCTCTTCTTTGTCTCTTTGCCAAATATTACATTATAAGTACCTTGCAAAATATCTATCACACCTCAGAACCCAAATCCAAGGGCAAAACAGACACCATACACTTGTGAGAGAATCCCACAAATGCACAAGACTCGGAACTCATTAAATTCATAACTAACAATCCATGGAACAATTTTGCAAAAATCTAAAAATAAAATTTAGCTTGCAAACCTAATTACAAAATAAGCTAAGTCCAAATATATGTGGCTAGCCTAACTCCAAGATAATCTAAGTTTGAATTACAAATGGCTAGCCTTCTAGCTCATCACTCCCCTCAGTTTTCCCGCGTCTTTGGTTTTAGTACTTGAAATGGTGGATGAGGGAAAAATACTCTATGAAATAATTTAGTAGGTAAAAATATGGATAGCCCTTATTTAATGTATAAAGCATGCCAACAAGTGTAATCAAGCATCAAGAAAAATGGGTTTAAGTACAAGAATGAAATAGACGTCTCCTCTATAGGTCATGGCCAATGTTTATAAACCTGCCACTGACAGGCACAAGTTTTGCTAGTGTATCCCACTAGCAGGATAACAGGTATAACAAGAATGAACCGATTCCATAAGTAACATGTCGACATGTGCTAGTGTTTATAAACCTCCCACTAATAGCCACAGTAAATCATGACCATATTGGAGACAAAACTAGGTAGAAGTTAACAAGAAAACCATAATTTACAAATAATTTCTAGATCATTAGGACAATCAAATAAACTCCAAGTAGGCATGCTCAACTCAATGGAAATGATAATAATTTCATTTCAACCAATCATGCTCGTGTTTGTGTAAAATGGGTTTAGTCCTGCCATCATTTCAAAAACCATTAGAAATTTGCTTATAAAAAAAATCTTTGCCTCAAATCCAAAAGACATTACCATACTTTTACTTACCTCTTCTTGTAGGCTTACAACAGCAAGTATTCAAGGTTTCAAGGAGATGGTGGTGACTTAGAACCTATGCCACATTAAAGAACAAACAAGATTACAATGTACCCCATTTAGTTAAATTGGCTTCTAATCCCAAAAATCAAGTTTCTATCCAAGGTAACAATTTCTTCCTACACACCCTTACTATTTCTACCCCTTTGAAATCTTATTAACATATAAATATGTTTAACCACACTTAGAGTATGCTTAAAACAACTCTCATTGTCACACGCAACAGCAGCATTTATGGGCAAAACAACAGCCATTTATGGGCAAAACAACAGCCATTTATGGGCAAAACAACAGCCATTTATGGGCAAAAACAGCAGAAACTTCTAGCAAGAACAGCAGAATTTTCTTAGACAAAACAGCAGCTATTTATGGTTTAAAACAACAGAAATTTTTGACAAGAACAACATAATTCTTCTAGGCAAAACAGCAGCAAAAACAGAAGCAAAATAACATAATTTTCTAGGTGAACAGCAGAATTTTATGGCAAAAACAGCAGGATTTTCTGGGTTAAGCAGAGTAGAAAACAGCAAGGAAAATGCAGAAAAATGCAGAATTTTTCTGAGTTAAACAGTGCAGAAAAACAGCAAGGAAAAGTGCAGGAAAATGCAGAGTTTTCTGGTTTAAAACAGTGCAGAAACAACAAGGGAAAGTGCAGGAAAATGCAGAATTATCTGAGCTAAAACAGTGCAGAAAAACAGCCAGGAAAATGCAAAAAAAAAAAATGCAGCAGCAAAACAGCCAAGATTGTAGAAAATTGCAGCAGCAAAAGCAGTAGCAACCAGCCAAGATCAAGCCAAAGGCAGCAGCAATGCAGCCAAGATTCAAGTAGTAAAACAGCAGCAATTTATGCAAAAATATACAACAGCAAAACAGCTAAGATTCAAGCAAAATGCAGCAGCCATGCAGCCAAGATTCAAGTAGTAAAACAGCAACAAAACACTAGACAAACACTGTCACAATCTTTCAAGAAGATAAGGAGTGGAATACCCCATAAATTTTATGCATTTTCCCCAAATCTAAAATAGTCAATATTCAACTAAATCTACCAAAATTAGAGAAAGAACGAGATTGGTTTCATGCTCACATCTTACCAAAAAATTGAGAGAGAGAGAGACAGTTCCTCCTAAAATGGAAACCTGAAAGGCAGAAACAACAGGAACTTGAGGGGGGCTAGCGTCTGCTTGCCGAAAAGGGAAACCCAAGGCTGCCGAAGGCAACACGCGACTGTGGTGCAGTGGGGAACAATGAGCTACTACTTAGGGGATTTATGAGATGTGGGTGAGAGGGTTTGGAGGAGCAAGATTGGTGATGAGAGTTGGTGAAGGATGGAGGATGGTGGGGGATGAGTTAGGGTTTCAAAACAACAAGAAGAAGAATGGGGGAATCGGGAGCTTATACTCTTGAAACCC